TCGAACCCACCACCTTAGGTGTATGTGGCTGGCGCCTTAGCCACTTGGGCCACAGGCGCCGAGCCGAGAGATTTAAATTTTAAAGTTCTGTGTGCAGACCTGAGATTTTAGGGGTAGAAGGTGTTGTATTCAAAGTTGTAAATGTTGAAGATAACATTTATCTTTATATTGCATAGACCAGGCAGCATAAAGTTAGTGTTATTTGCAAGATAAATCTGGAACTACCTTTATAGCTAGTGACTGTGTATTGAGTCCTCCTCAATAATAAATATTTGAAGGGCAGTAAAATAACACAGTACCTACCATATTAAAGGAAGCCTAATGAAGGGAGATGCTGAAGAGAAGTCAGAGTGGCATAATGGACAGGTTGTCAGTAACCATTAAAGAACAGGCAGACTGCACCATCCAAAGGTGACTGCCTAGTGAAATCATTGGGAAGCAATTTCTATACCAATTACAAAGGCAAAGAACAAACAAAGGATATAATGAGAACTAGCAGTAAGAAAGGGGAAGATCTGGAACTCTAAAACTGAGCCATTTTTTGGCTTAAAAGACAAGCTCAACAGATACTGGTTCTAATCCCTATAAAGAAACTAAAAAGGCCTGAAAACATTACCGTGTTGTTTTTCTCTGATACCATTTTATCTTAGATTATTGACTTCTTCCATGATAGAACTGTACAAAGTTTTCATATTGAGAGTGAAAATGCATATCCAATTTTCTATCCAAACTGTGTACCACTAGATCCATGTCTTGCTGTTAATTGAATTTCAATTTTTTATAAACTGTGTTCTCTCTTTAAGAATGCATCTACATTATAAAAACTAAATAAAAAAAAAGCATAAAGTTTGCCATTCCATTTTAAACCCGTCACCTCTCAGCCTATGCTCCTTTTCTACATGTGCTTATTCTCCTCATAAATAGCCACCCTTAATAAACAGTGCACTGCATGGTCTTCTAGTAATTTTTCAGGGTTCTCATATACACGAAAAAAATTAAAGCAGTGCAAGTCTCCCCATTTTTACTTGTCTACTCCGTCCCTTATTGGACGGATAATCAGAATTGTTGGGAAAATAACAGTATTTCATACAGCAAGCAGATAAGTTCCTGGAGAGTTAAACAATGAGGACATAGTGGATGCCTAGTCATAGTAAGTTAACAGGAGAAGTAATTAAATTTATTGAATGTTTATAGTTAATAGTAAAACATATTCTGGCCTACTGGGCCTGATTTCTTTTGTTGGAATTGTTTTATCTGTTCAAGGATAATGCGAACTACTTTGTGTGCAGTATGTTTTAGAATATACTACCATATTTCAAAATTATTTAGCATGTACTTTGATTAGTTGGATAAGCCTCTTCTCCCCACCAAAAAATTACATATTTATTAAGTGCTCATCACTGCATTTACTTAAACTGAGTTAAGTATACTTACTTTAGGCTTAGTATTTCACAAACCCTATTGCATCCTTACTTATTCATGCAATTTCCAATCATCAAAATCTTACACAGATCCTTTGTTTCAGTTAGTCAGATTGTTAACTGGCTGTTAGAGTTTTGGGCTGGGTCTGTCTGAGAAAGGATGCCAGGAACTTTTTACATTTGAGTTTGTCTTAATTTTCTTAAACTTACATTTTTCTTTTTAAGTTACCACCTTTTAAGATGCCATTAAAAGAATTTGTCTTTTATTTAATGAGTTTATACAAAAAGTGCTTCAGGGCTGAGGGCTGTGGCTCATGCCTGTGATCTTGGCTCTTTGAGATGCCAGAGACAGCATCCCTTGAAATGACCCTGGGCAATTCAACCTATCTCTACAAAAAATTCAAAAAGAAAAAAAAAAAAAATAAACAGGTGTGGAGGCACACATATATATTCCCAGCTACTACAAAAGCTGAAGCAGGATGATCATGAGCTCTGGGATTTGAGGCTGCAGTTGGCTATGATTGTATCACTGTATACCAGCCTGGGTGACAGAGCGAGACGCTATCTCTTAAAAAATAAAACAATTTTTTAAAAGTGCTCTAGGGTATTCATGGAAAAAATGTGTAAATTAACATGATGTTACATGAGAATGTGGCTAAGACTTTTTAAAGATATCTTTATTCTAAAGTTATGAAGATCCGTTTACATTTAAATCTTGTATGTATATTGATAAATTTAAATCTTTATTTTAGAGCAATATACTTTGCTGCTTATTCAAACTGCAAGGAAAAGTTGAATGATGTATTTGATCCTGATTCCACCCAGGTACACATGATTTCAGCGGCAATGGCAGGTATGAATACATAATATTAAAAAACAAAATTTTTCTGAAACCTAGAGACTTAATATTGAACTATCAGAAGTTTATATTGACAAGTTAAGACAATTAATGTGTTTTTCATTGGTTAGTGTCTACAAAGATGATTTGTACATTCACTGGTCTAAAATAAATTTTTTAGGTATATGTAAAATCTGTTGGCATTTTTATAATTAGGAGTTTAAGGGATAGGATATAGGTAACATAATATTAATACTGCCTTGTGTAGCGCACTGAACATTTAGTGATCACTTTTAATACTTTTTAAAACCCAGCCATAATTACACTATAAATAAGTTGTGGAGCTGTAATTCATTCTTCTCTCCTCAATTTCTGTTAGTGCCTTTTCCCTTTTTGCTGCATGTTTTGGCTTCTATCTGAAATGTGTCGGCAATTCTTGGTAAAGTATTCATTTTGTCCTGTGCTCAAATGCTGAAACTTTGTGAATAATGTATTAATAACTCAGATAGTTACTAGAACGTGTATGTTTTTTAAAAATATGTATCATTCCGTGTAAATCATACCAGATAACACCTGAGATTTAGACACTGGCTGTGTGTACATGCTTGCTATGGAAATGTTTCCAGGAACTCTGCTGTTGTCATTGATGAATACATATGATTTCTGAATTAAAACATTTAAACTCAGGTCTCTGCACTGCCTCTATGGGAGATTGGTTTGACCGCTTTGGTTCTGGAATCATTTGCTGGCATGCATGTTAGACAAAGCCATGAACTTTGATTCTCAATAAAAAAATTCTCTCCAATTTTCTGAGATTTGTAGCCTGTTTACCCTTATCTCACATTTTCAATAAATGTCAATTATGTATTGAATATGTGCCTTAAATTGTTTGGTTCAAATTGATCCAATTTTTTTCTATATACTTAACTGAGGTTGAAGTACTAATTTCTGAAAGATAGCCATAACAAAATAATAAATCTAGCATATACCTTACCAAGTTACTTTCAAAGTTTTTTATATTTAATAATTGTTGACTGACTCATTAAAGTCTTAAAGTCAGATGGGATAACCTTAAAGATTAAGAGAGTAAAAACACTCTCATTTACCAATAAGGAGATCTTGGGCAAGTTTATAATCTATCAATCTTTGTTACCTTATCCAGGAGTAGATTGGTCCACATCAATTTGGATCTTGAAAATTAGTTCTTTCATGTAGTATTACAGTGATAACCTACTTACAACTAGAATTATTTTTTAATGTACTTTTTACAGATGTTGAACATGAATAGATATGATTCCCCCTTTACAAATTTGAGTGAGTATAAGGTACAAGTTGATGGCCAGTACAAACCTTATAACCACACTATAAGATTCTTTAAGAATATGTTCCTGGTTTATCAGGGTTTATATTCTTGATTTTTAGCCCCAGGAAATTATAAAGAAATGCTAATGTTTCTTTTTTTGAAAAGATTGAAATTAAAGAAGTAGATAAGCAGTTGTTTTGAGGATATTTGTTTTATATTCAGTATCAAAAATGAGGAGGTTCAGAATATCTTGATTTCTACCGGAACATCTTATTTTATTAGAATGTCTCATCAAAATTTATTACTATTTGTATCACATTGCAGAGAATTTCAGTAAAATTGTCATTGTGTACAAATGTTAACATGTAGTTTGTTTTGTCAACATTGATACTATTTACCAACTTGAATTTCTTGAATTTTGGTAAACCAATAGTTTTATACTTATTCAGAAATTATTACACGTACTGTGTAATTTTTGAAAATAGCTCTTGCATTTGTTTGCAGCTATATTGTTCTGAGAATTGTGCTTCCAGAGTTTTCTTGCTCTATTCGTGAGCATTAACATTAAGCTTCGCAGTTCTTATTCATAACTATGATTGGTGAAATTGAATGGTCCAATGCAGACTTGTTTAAGGTAGTCTTTTTGTCCCTTAATTCTTGAAATAATCTAGACCAGATTGTTCTGGTTTTTCTTCAGGATCATTTTTAGGTCTGAATATGAGTGGTTTGAGGGTGTGAAGTACTTTAAGATCATCACATGAAAAATCATTTTCAACTGGCTGTTGAAAGGGAAAAAAATGCTAACCTTGTCACTTTCATATCAAAAAATGCACTACAGTAGACCCTTGTTGATACTGCCTGCAAGATCTTACCACACCAAGTAGCACACACATTAAGCAATAAGTACCACATAAATTATTCCAACCAACTTTTTGATTGAGTTTTATTTCATCCATATGAACTCTTAAGTGTTTAATTTAGATGCTAAAACTTGTTAACATAAACCGGATTAAATAAATTAGGTCTTTTCGTTTGTTATAGAGTTACAAATGAATACTCCAAGTTATTTGTAAACCTCTAAAATGGAGCTATAACTTTGCATTCATTAAATTTTTTTTGAAGTTGTGAAGATATTTAATCAAATTAAGAACGTTGACTGTTTTTTGTGATTTACCGGCCTTTATTCCCCCACATGACCTTTGTCAGACTGAGTACATCTTAGCTGTTGAGGATATCTGTGCCTGTGTGTTCTGTTTAAATGAATAGCTCTCTGTATACACCTAGCCACAGATAAATATACACAAAAAATTGTATTAAGTTACTTTACAGTAATTCTCAGTTTTTAGAAGTTTTTATATGTCATATATACTTTTATATATAACATTATAATCAAAAGAAACGGATTCTGATTTTTACTGGATTATAATATTCATATAGTTACTGTTCAGTTTTTTACTATACCAATAATGCAATCATTGAATGTTTTCTGTATACATAATGAATTCTGTTTGTTTACAAAGTATACTGTCATTTTTCAAGACACATTTTTCTGACTTAAAGTTCATTATTAAAGATTTTTTACTCACTAAATAACAAATTTTATTTTTTTAATATTTTATTTGTCCGTGGAAGTTCATTCAGCCAGAGCGATGGTTGAACAGATGTTTTGTGTTTGTGTGTAAATGTTCTTCCTGTTTTTTGTTTTGTAGAAGACAAGAGATTAAATACAAAATAATCCAAAATATCTCATAAGTATGGATGTGCAATATTACTGGCCATAGTGCAAAAGGTGAAAGGTACCATTGTAACAACATATATTTTATTTTATAAAAGATATAAATAGCTCCCAAACGAAGTTATTTGAATATTCTGTTGGGTTTTTTTTTTTAAAGGTTTACTAAGTCTGCTTATTGTTAAAGAAGAGAAAAATATGTTTTCAACTCTTTGATCACAATAGGTAATGATGGTAGGAAAACATCTCTAAATGTTGCCTTTTGACAAGGTTAGCATTTTTTCTTTGAGGCAAAATTGGTCTGCTTTTAGGTAAGTATTTGGACTCTGAAACTGCTGCAGATAGCAGGATTTTCAGTACTCAGTGCATTAAAAAAAGTATTATGGCCCATTTTGATATTCCTTTTTTTTCCTTTTTTTAACTTAAAATTTTCAAAAAAGTTAGATCTCACAGTAAATATTTCTCAGATCCTTCCAGTGGGATTCAGTTTGTACACGTGTTTCTGATGAGGTCACTGCTTGTTGTTATGATACAGAAAAGCCTGTGTCTATTTTAGGCATTTACTGTACATTTCTCCCGAGAAAAGAGTGAGATCGTGTCATCTCATGCTCCCCATCCGCAGGTCACTTCCTGTAGAAATATGGACTAACTTAAACCTCGTGAGTACTGATCTGAGCATCTCTTGCAGCCTCTAGTTTAAGAAACACACCCTGGGATTTTATGATAGCTATGCTATGACATTAATAGAAGGCGGGAAATGAATTTTTATTTCCTGAATTTGTGTGTGCATTATTTTATAAAAATTTAAATCTGATATTTTTCTAATATTCCTTCTAGAAGGAAGAGTGGGGTACTTTGCAGTCATTACAAAATAAAAGCCTGAGGTCTTCAGCTTGGCTATAGGAGCCTTGACCTCCAAAGAATTTGATAACAGAATATATACATAATTATAAATGGTATTATACCATTCTACAAGTTTTAGATAAAGTAGTAGTTCTCTTTGCTTTGGGTAACATATTTAAAAGTCTAATACAGTGCTTTCCAATCTCTTGTCTGTTGATATAGATTTTCTTTTGCAAAAATATTGATCTTAATGCCATTGCTTTCCAACTAAATACAGGATAAGAATACATAGGATCTCAGCTGTTTTAGTTTTAATTTCTTTGAAAAATCATTTTAAAACATTTCTCTTAGGAGTTTAGGTGGGCTTTATTCTATAGAAATTAATTAAAATGAAAAGTACTGAAAATGCAATACTACAGGTATAACTCACTTAATGAAATAAACATCAGCAAGTTTATTATAAGCAGTTTTCTTTTAATCTACTTTTAATTGGTTTACATTATCAAATGGAGTTTTAGATGAAACAAAACTTCTAAAATTGCATTTGAATTTTTTTTAAACTTTCTAATAAAACACTAACCACATTACTAACAGTATGGCCAATGTAGTGGCACTTAATGTAATTGACTATGGAACTGTACTAATTCTGATTAACCTACAAATGAATCTCAGAGAACATTTACTCTAAGAGAGTTTTAATATTTCACTGGGTGCTCAGAATAATAATATAAATTAACATGTTACCAAAGTGTCACAAAATTAAAACATAAAATAAAAAGTCCGTTTCTAAATTTCAAGGGTACCATTCCCAAAATCTTTGTGTATGTTCCTCTTAGAAGTAATAGAAGATCACTTCTTGGCCTTTTGGCTAAGATGAAGTGTAGAAGTAGTGGGAAGATAACGTTTAGCTAACCTTTAATTGCCTTATGATATATAATTCTAAATTAATTGTAAATTTTTATTTGCATTTGTATCATTTTTTGGATTAATTGGTTATATATGTTTAGATATAATTAGCCCAATAAATGTCTGCTTAGTTTATTAAAATGTCTTTGGTTAAGAGAAAGTAATAGCATAAAACTAAACACCTGTGGGTGGTGCGTTGCTTCTTGGTTTACTGATAGTTAGGCTAGTGTTTTTGTTAAGAGCTAGCTCTCATTATTGACAGAGTTGAACCAGAAAAGCTGTAGTAAACATAGATTACTAATTTTAGCAATTATATAGGAAGAAGATAAAATTCTCTCACTTACCTAAATATTAATGTATCTTGCTAATAGGTTAATTTAGCTTGGAAATGAACTTTAGTTAAGTGAGAAATACCTGTTGTTTGCTTTCTGGCATTGTTTGTTTATAAGTACAGAGGATAATTTAAAATTAGAATTTATGGGTCTTTAAAAAATTCCTAGTAATATTTATACATATTTTTAATAATATTTTTAAATTTTATATATTTATATGGGTTTTTTCCAGCCTCAAATGGAAGAATTTTGTGCCTTGGAAGACTATTACGGGGAAAAACTTGAGTACTAAGTTTTTATTTTTAAAAATACAACTTTTATGAAAGAAAAACTTTGGTATCCATCTTCTTTTCACATAAAGTACAATAAGTTCAGTGACAATTTTTACCTAGATAGGCTGTTTCTTTAAAAAGTTTGATATTAAATAGCCAAGCATGGTGGTGCATGCACTTTGGGAAGCTTAGGTGGGAGGATCACTTGATCACTTTGAGCATGGGCAACATAATGAGACCCTGTCTCTACAAAAAAAAAAAAAATATAAAGTTAGCCTGTATAGTCCTGGCTTTTCAGGAGGATGAGACAGGAGGCTCTCTTGAGTACAGTAGTCAGAGGTTTCAGTGAGCTGGGATCATGCCACCGTACTCTAGCCTTGGCAGCAGAACAAGACCTTGTCTCTTAAAAGAAAAAAAATAGTTCGATATGAGGATTTCAGGGTTTCAAAACTAAAGAAGTTTTATAAGAATCATTAAATTGGTGTCTGGCCAGAATATTAATGTCTGATTGCTTTAAAATGTAATTTGGTTATCTATAGTTTAACGTTTTCACTTAGAAAAATGAGGTTCAAAAAAAGAAAAAAGAATACTCCAGGCCATACACAAAATTATTTAAATTAGTCTAATAATTATATGTTTTTTCTTTTCTTTAACCAAGAATATATACATGAAAAGAACCTCTTACTTAAAACAGTGTTCCTGGCAACCTGTTCAACCTTTTAAATTTTTATTATTTTAGTACTTGCTTATGCTTCCCAAATTATTGGTCCCAGGCTAGTTTTATACTTATCTATGTAGTATTAAAATTTAGTAAAGGAGTTATTAAATCAAATTTTTATAGTATTTATCTTGCTTTCTAAATAGGTTTCATTGGGCCATCCCTTTAGTTATGTAACATCCGGCTATTTCTACAGGGTAAAACAGTGGGATAAGGGAGTAAAATTTGAGGTAATTAATTGTCTGACATCATAGAAGGGAAAAGAACCCTCTAAGACCAAATTCAACTTTGTAAACAATTCAGTTAAATTATTTTGCATACATAGAAATACCCGTACTATTTTTAAAAGCCAAGAAAGGTTTATGATTAGTTCTGCATTATATATTAATTTAAAAGCAAATTATTCTTAACTATATTACAGCATTTCTGTTGTATTTTATTTATAAAAATAATGTGCTTGACCTGGTAGGTGTGATAGGAAATATTAGAACAGTTAAGATCCTTAGACTTTTCTAAATATAAGTTTTCATGGGATTTAAAGACCAACTGAATACATGTAGCTTGATGTTAGTAGTTCTATGAAACTTGTATAAATGATGTTACGTGTAAAAGTAATATACTAAAACCTTGTTTTGTATAGATGAAGCAGTCTTTATAAGTGCCCATCATCAAGATTGCATTTCGTGTGCTGTTTTTACATAATTAGGAAGATGGCAAGTAAAAGATATGCACTAGCCCAGAAACATATTATTCCAGGTAGATCTTAGTTACTATCTGGAATGAGCCATCTGAGGTGACTGCACTTCTTCACCAATAGTTAGTTCATAGTACTTTAGTTTTAAAGTAAACTAGAGCTGCCTTCAACCCTGAGTTTCTTTCTTTCATGTCTATAAAAGAGGGACATTCTAATTTGTAACTTTTTGAACCTTTGAGTTTTTGTATGTGTTTATGTAGATGAAAAGTAGATCTGTCCTATTAACCCTAACAGACTTTACCTCTGTGATACCATTATTTTAACAGTATTAGTAAGTATGTTTATAGAAAGTATTTATGGGGCCAAAAATGGTCTTTTCTGTTATATGTGTACAGTCATCTAAAAACAAAAATATTAGTAATTACTGACATTGATGTAGAATCAATTTTGGATATAATGATTTGTGATGTTAATCAGACCCCAAGTAGCCGTGGTAGAATGCATGCTTTTTAGCTCTAGAATAAACACAATTTCTATGTTTGTCTGTGGAAATGGATTTCTACTTTCAGCTTAGACAGTAGGGAGCTTCCTAGAGGATACTGTGAATAGATTGGGAAAGCAGTTTATATACAACTGGATTTGGCTCTTAAAAGAATCTTTTACATAAGGTCAGAATTTGAGAATTTGTATAGATTGCAAGTGCAGGCAGATGTTCATGATTGTATGGATTTGTAAAATGAAAGTAAAGCATATATAAATTGATAGTTTATTTATATGCATATTCTCTAATGTAGATTTATATAATTTTAAAGACCTTAAAGTTAGTAATGTATTCTTCATTTTTACCAGAGTTCATTTTAAAAATATTTGTTTAGGTTTTACTGCAATCACGGCAACGAACCCCATTTGGCTTATTAAGACTCGCTTACAGCTTGATGCAAGGTATGTGAATTCCTTAAAATAAAATTGGTTAAAGTGGGCTTAACTATTTTTATAAATTTATGTCAGTAAGGTTTAATGTCAACTATCTCACCCTGTTTTTCTCTAGTTAACTTTTTCTTGATCAGTTTTTTTTTGTTTTGTTTTAAAACTTGGATCTGCCGTCCTTTTTTTTTTTTTTTTTGAGACAGAGCCTCAAGCTGTCCCCCTGGGTAGAGTGCTGTGGCATTACAGCTCACAGCAACCTCCAACTCCTGGGCTCAAGCAAGTCTCCTGCCTCCGCCTCCCAAGTAGCTGGGACCACAGGCGCCTGCCACAACGCCCGGCTACTTTTTGGTTGCAGCCGTCATTGTTGTTTGACGTGTCCGGGCTGGGGATTCGAACCCACCACCTTAGGTGTACGTGGCTGGCACCTTAGCCGGTTGAGCTATAGGCACCGAGCCGGTTCTGCCATCCTTAGCTAAAGTGATATAATAGTTCACAATATGCAGCTTTCCAGGTGAAAAGGGTATATTACGTGTTGTGTTTTTTTAAAAAAGGAAAAGGGCGTATTGACCCAGCTCCCCGTATGAGTCCTTAAATTGGCCTCCCAGCCACTAAATAAGCCACAGTTAGGTAGTCTAGACTACACCTTTGAGTATCATTGCTCAAATTTAGTGACCTTACGTATAGAGAATCCCTGGGCTGGGAAATAGCTTTTATGTATGCATATACTTCATCTGTCACCACTGGCCACTTGATAATAGCAAGAGTCGTTCATTCAACAGATCTGTATTGAGTAGGTAACTGCTGTGTTTTAAACTCAAACCAGAAAACAGGGGGGACCAATTTTCAATAGACTAATCAAGGAATGGCTTTTTGAGTCCAATTTAAAAAGAGGAAAGAGTGCACATCCCAGAGGTCCTAAATGGATGGCCTTTGATGCCCTAGAAATTAGAGGCCAGCAGCAGGGCAGCATAGGATCTTGCGGTCTCATTTCCTGTTGGCCATAGATTAGAGAATGGGGAAAAGAAATATTTTTAAGTAGAAAGATGATCCTGCCTGGTGTGTTATAAAAATAATAATGTTAATAGTTTTGAACTATTTTAGGCTTGTAGTCTGAAGTAAGTTCCTGTACAATGTACTTACACTGTTTTTATTTTGAGAGGGTTGGAAAGTAATGTCTTTGAAAAGAAATGTCTAAGTGTTTCGTCTGGATTAGTAGCCCTTTTGGTGAAATCTTAAATGTTGTAGCAAAGTTCAAAATTTATTTCCTAAAGCCCACTACCTGGAAGTAGTGATAGCTAAGACCTTAAACCAAGGGTTAAGGTTTCACTTTACATTGCATTTGGTTTCACATTACATTACATTAACACTATAAACTGTTAATACTAAAGTTGTGTTTCACTGTGTTATAGGGCTGCTATGTAGGAAATCCAGGAAAAGCCTGACTGTTCTTTTCTTTCACTTACAATGTAATACAAACTAGAACAGTTTTAGGTTTGTAGGGGTGGGGATGGGATAGAGCAATAGTGAAAAGTCCATTTGAGGGTGCTAAAATACACCACCAGGTCAGGAATAGGGAAGATGTTTTTGTACATCATCCTTCCAGGCTTGAATCTGTCTTAACTTTCTCTCAGGAGGGATCTCTAGTGGTAGAAAATAGTTACAGTAAGTTACGTGGACCATTCATCTAAATAGGCATTCAGTATCTAAAGACAATCATTAGTTCATAAAACTGGCAGAATCTATAGGTTATTAAATGGGTGATTTGTGGTTTTATTTTCTATGAGAAGTAAATAAAGTATAATGAATAAATAGGTAATTTTTTTTCTACTTCTTTCTCTATAGGTAGCATTTACACCCATTCTTTTAGACAGGGGACTATTAAGGAAATCATAGTTAGAGGTAGCAAATATTGTTACTCCAAATTATATACATGTGTAAGAAATCTTATGCTTTATAAAGTAGGAGCTACACCCTTAAGGAGCACTAAGGGAATTGTCTTGGACATAATACTGAATAAATATTTACTGACTGCACAGATTTTCATTAACTATTCATTGGGGATACTAATGGGCCATTGCCTTCAAATGGTCAAAGGGAGTTTGACTTACATTCACCTGTCACTTCTTGGAAAGGATCTGGGTGGGCCTGAAAGACAGTCAGCTCAGGTGCACAAGTGTAGTCAGCCATACATAGTTCTTGTTTTGTGATGTATTATCATCATTAGCATCGCAGTCATTGACTGTGTTATTAAATGCAGAGAGAATTGGACTTACTGGAATTACTAAAATGTGAGGAGCTTTGTTTTTATCTCAAGCTGCAGAGTGTATAATTTGTAAAGGATTTTGTCACATATCCCTCTTACGTGAATGCCAGTGAGAATTTGAATCTAAAGATTTACTATTGTGCATTTTGCATTCATTATATATAAATTATTTGTCACCCGTTTAATAGGACAAATTTGTACAAAGGAATGGGAAATCTAAAATATGTATTTTAAAAATAACCAGCTTTACTTCATGAGTTAAATAAGACCATGCTTCATTAGAGTGACATTTTTACTGTAATTCATTTACTTTAATGAAAAACTTACTTTATGCCAGTAAGATTTTTCCTTTTGCATTTCAGGAACCGTGGGGAAAAGCGAATGGGTGCTTTGGAATGTGTTCGCAGAGTGTATCAGACAGACGGACTTAGAGGATTTTATAGGGGCATGTCTGCTTCATATGCTGGCATATCAGAGACTGTTATCCATTTTGTTATTTATGAAAGTATAAAGCAAAAACTACTGGAATATAAAACTGCTTCTACAATGGAAAATGAGGAAGAGTCTGTGAAAGAAGCATCAGATTTTGTGGGAATGATGCTCGCTGCTGCCACCTCAAAAACTTGTGCCACAACTATAGCCTATCCACATGGTAAGAAGAGTTGAGTTCACTTGAGTAATAATTATTAAATCAGAAATATTTTTCAACCCCAACCAATCGCCCTCTTATTAGAGCATTTATGATTTTACTACATCCTTGTGTAACAGAATACAGAAGAGCCTCCATCACTGACCACCTCCTTCAGTTGACCTAATTTTCATAGACCAGACATGCACCACATGTACGTATCAGTACAGTAGGCCTAGTTCCCTATGTGGCCCATCCCTGCTTATTACAGTTCCTTGACTGGTCAGTTTACAGAAGTTCTACTGTATATTTCTTAGAAGTTCATAGTGGAAGTAAATCTGGTTAGGTAACATAAGGCTGTATTAATAGGTCAGTTTATGCTATCACGTTGCGTGGTGGTGATGCAGTAGGAGCTCTGAAGTCATACAGTCAAATTCCTGCCATACTTAATCCAGCTAGCTGACCTTTGAGCAAGTTTCTGATTTTTGAAAACAGTGTGTCTACAGATACTACAGTTGATACCTTACTTACATTATTGCTAACTACATTAAAAAGTACTTAACTTCCCTCTTAGGCTAGAATATAACCAGAATTGTGCTAATCTTCAAATGGGACATAAGTAATTTGTCCAAGATCACAGAGCTACTTAGTGATGAACTGAGATTTAAATTAAATTCTATAACCCCAAAGACCGAGCTATTTTAACTTTTTATTTATTTACTTTTATTTTTTATTTTTTATTTTTTTTTTGAGACAGGATCTCTCTCTGTTGCCCAGGCTAGAGCCCAGTGGTGTAATCATACCTCACTGCAACCTCAGACTCCTGGGCTCAAGTGATCCCCTGGCATCAGCTTCCCCAGTAGCTGGGACTACAGGTGTGCATCACCACACCTGGCTAATTTTAAAAAAAATTTTTTGTAGAGACAGGGGTCTCACTATGTTGCCTAGGCTGGTCCTTGAACTCCTGAGCTCAAGTGATTCTTCTTCCTCAGCCTCATAAAGTGCTAGGATTACAGGCATGAACCACTGCACCCAGCACACGGGAGTTTTGGGGAGCTTTTTCTATTCTGTTTTGTTTAAATGTAGCCTTTGATTTAGGGTATGTTTAAGGTTTCTTTTTTAATCTAAGTGCTTCACTTTTGTTCACTATTAACATTGACATTCTCCCTCGTATGTCGTATCAGGAAAAAATGAAACAAGTCTAGGAAATGAGTATTTGCTCTAATCTGTAATTTAGGAAATCAACTCTTTAGGTCAGACTATGAGTTACCCCACTTTTCTAAGGGAAGTTCCTCACTTCTCTGAAAGAAATCAAAATAGAATGGTATTAGCAACTTTGTTGACATTCTGGCATACTGTGGATGGAATAGAATGGTAGGCTACTAAGGTGTAAGGGATAGTTTGGGGGTTTAAGCAGTGAGCCCTTTAAGTGAAATGAAGTCATTAAAAGAAGAGGTACAGTTGTAAGTAGGGTATTTTGGAGTTAACTGTATAATTGGCATGACTCTTGATAACAGGACAGAAGATTTCAAATAAATATTTACAATTGCTATGGTTTGCTTTAGACTCTTTCCTCCATGCCAATCAGGAGTAATTTGCTAAAAAATTTGAGAAATAACAGATATAGAAAGAACAGGTACACTATTCAAATAGGACACTCTGAATTCTTGTCCCAGTCTTCTCCCAAACTGGCTAAAACCTCTAGCCCCAATTTCTCACCTTTTAAAGTGAAGAAAAATTGGATTAACTAAATCTCTAAAGGCCAGTAAGCACTTAAAAATTTATGATTTTGCATAGTTGATGCCCAGACTAGGTCTTAAAGCTGGAAGCTGGTGTTCTCAACATGATCAGGCTCTTGTTCCATTGGTGTTTCACATTGGTACACATTGATCACTGTGAATAGACTAATCATTCTGTTTTTCCTTTGTATCGTCCATTTTTTAAAAAGTTGATCTGCTTGTGTCTCCCTGTGATCTTTTTATCTGCATGTTTTGATAACCAACTATGCTCCCTTACCTGCTTCTTTACCTTTTTCTCCTTACCGTAATCTGTTCTCCCTTGTTTCTGTTTATCTAGCGTATAGCTGATACTTTTCTTTTGTTTTACATTCCCCGACCTGTGGAGTATTATAATTAGCATACATGATTTTGGCTGTTCTTAGAACTCTGGTGTTAATAATGTGACTGGCTTCAGTAAGCTACGCATTAAAAAGTCATTTCTTATTTATCCTGAGCTTACGTTTAAAGACTGATTAATAGGATGTACTCTGAATAATTTGGAAGGTGTAAAGATATCAGTAATGTTTATTATATAAAATGATTTTCTTTCTTTCCTAAACAGAAGTTATAAGAACAAGACTACGTGAAGAGGGAACAAAATACAGGTCTTTCTTTCAGACACTGTCTTTGGTTGTTCAGGAAGAAGGATATGGGTCTCTTTACCGTGGTCTAACAACTCATCTGGTGAGACAGATTCCAAACACAGCCATTATGATGGCCACCTATGAACTGGTGGTCTACCTGCTCAACGGATAGCAGCACATAGGGCTGCTGGACTGCAAAGAGGGAAGACCAAAAGATTATAGTGGACCATGGAGTATTGAAGCCAGCCTGGTGGACAGAAGAAAAATAGTTTGGGAACATGTAGCTATACTTAAGTGGAAATTTGGTTGTAGGAATTAAAAACATCACACCACATTACTTGGCCTTTCAGTAATGTGAACAAAAACCTCAGAGCCTCCAAGGAAATGCCTTTAGAAGCACTCCTTTCTCAAAATTGCCATTTTCTCTACCATGTCCCCTGGACACAGTTGTGTTTGTTGATTTATGACTGTGAGATTACAGTGTTGTTTATTCCATGAACACTTTTCCAGTCTTCTAAACAGAGCCATCCCTAATGATATACTGTACTGTAACTATCCAAAGCTAGTATTGGCAGTCATAAATTTCTAACTTCTGGCTTTTAATTCCTGTGAAATTGTAAAATAACAATAGCAGTGAGATTCTCAGTAGTATTTTCACATTTCCTTGAGAAGACCTGGAACAATATTTGAAATTATTTGGCGTTAGTACTCACTGTTTTTGACAGCCAGTGAAATAGTGTCTAAATGTCTTGCGTGTTTTTAGCATTGTTTCAGTTTCCACTGCTAACGGGTGCTTGATGTTTAGCCTAATGTGGACGTTTAAATGCTTTAACACATTGGTGTTCATATACTATCACATGATAATAGCTTGAGACAAAATGAGTACAGTGTGGATTCTTGGTCTTTTCACTGACTTGAGCATGTCCTCATATCTTCCTTAATTTGATAGTACATGGAAGAATGTAATTATCATTTCAGTGACTTAATTATAAACTTGAATTATTACCTGTTCATCATACCTAAGTATCATTTACTTAAAATGGTAACCACTTTTGAATCTTTTTCTGATTGATTTCACATTAAGAATTCAAACCTTTGAATTATTTCCAGGTCTTTGTAAATTACATTTATTTTGTAGAGAAAATGGTAATTTTTAGTTTTTTAAGGTGACATTAATACTAATATTTGGAACAGCATAAATATCATAGCGGAAGGGCCCCTGCTGTCTGATTCAGCAGAGAGTGCTCTTAATTGACTTACAGTTTTATAAATGAAAAAACCGCTTTTGACAAGTTTATCATGTTCTAGTTTCCTGAATGGTAAATCCTAGAAAGGTACAAGTTAATTTGGGTTAACTGTGCTAATAGGCTATAGCTTCTAAATACTGCAGTTGAGTCAACTGTAAATTTTAATATTTTAAATGTATTATATGTATGGCCCTTACAAAAATGTTTGCTATAATTGTATTATGAGACTTTGCCTATGGATGTTGCTATACTGGTGTATAAAATTTCCACAGTTAAACTCCAGTGTGGTATTCATTTCAATATACCTGAACTGTACATTTTGTGCAATGGCTTTATTTTAAAGAGTGACTCTGTGAATGCACTTTGTGGCCTTTTGGGGGTAGGGGAGGTGAAAAAGAAGAGAATTCCTGTTAAGATTTTTTTTAAAAAAACACTGGTCATGTATTAGGCAGAAACAGTGCTGATGACATTTTTCTGGGTTTTCAGTATGTTGTAGAGATGGTCACATGAATGTTTTAAGTATTCCTTGTACTCTGTACTGTCCCACATGTTATAGAAAACTGCAACATGTCATTGCAAGCTTCTCTGCTGATAGCAGTGAAGCATAGTCCCCTCTTCAATTCTCCCATTGTGACTTCCTTGTAATCAACAGTGACTGGATGTTTTTGAGGTGCTCAATTGGGATTTAAAATATTCCAATCTGTTCAGAGACCAAAGGCAAATTCAGTTTTCTTATCTTTGGAATTATTAATGCCTTTTCTGGTAATTTTCAGCTTTGACATACATTGTGGGGAACATAACCAAACACTCCCCCCTCCCCCCCCCAAAATAACCGGGGTTTCTAGCTATAGTGAAGTTCTCAGTCGATAGTGTTTGCCTTCCCAGGTGCCATTTCTACTGCCTAGTACAGTGCCATTTGCCTTGTGAAGATCCATCAACCTTTGTTGAATGTAGGGCAGAGACTCCCTAGACTTACTGATTACAGTACCCCACAAATGATGTAGAGTGACATGAAAACCAGCAGCAAAGAAACATCTTATTACTTAGTTGTAGCAAATCCATAATAAGTGTCCTTCAAGGATGAACATGCATTTTATTTCTATTTGTATTTAGCAAGTAAAACTTAGGTTGACCTTTAGTGCATTATATTCAGCTTGTAAAAGTGTCTGTGTGTCTAGAAGGAAAGGAGATCTTGGTTAGACTGTGTTTGTGCAACAACTGGAGAAAAGCAGTGAGGGTTTTTTCCCTCTAAGCACAATATGCCATAGTTTACGTTTAACAGAGATAATTCAAAAAAGAAAACTATAAAGTTGTATATAAGGTCTATCTCTGAAATACTTCTTTTAAGATTTGTACAATTGATTCAAATATTTTAAAAGATAAATGCATACTCAAAGCATCAGACATTTTTTTTTTTAACTGTTTTCATGTGTTGTCTGTCCAGAAACTTTTTTCTTTCTGGTATAGAGATGGTCAGTGTTCTTCAGTTTCATATATCTTTTTATTATAGAATCAACTATCACCAAAGCTTTGCATGATTCTCATTATGTAACGCTGGAGAATCAACCTTACTAAATGGGCATCCCACAATGGGTTTGCCTTTTTTTCTTTTTTTTTAAGTAGAGATGGGGTTTCACTATCTTGACCAGCCTGGCCTCAAGCAGCCCTCCCGCCTCAGCTTCCCAAAGTGCTGGGATTTCAAGCATGATCTACCATACCCAGCCTCATAAGGAGTTTATAACCTTGAACCCATGATAGAATATTATCAGATTATTTAATCCAGCTTTTTGTCTCCTAAAACTTAATGCCCGATGTGGACTAGCATTATTATATTAGGACTAACAGTTTGAGTTGTTAAAAGTGAATATTTGCTCTTCTACTGGAATATAAACATTACCACATCTTTAGATTTGTTTTAAATCACTAAAAATGTTGATTTGAGTAAGAAAGATTAAAGTGCTAGAAATCTGCCCCCTTAGTATTCTAGAATCGTTCATGCCGATCTTTGAATATGTTGTTCTGCCCAGACCCGTCAGTACTACAGGGACCCCATTGGGCTGGTAAGCACAGTTCAGCCTTTTTCTCTAATATTTGATCATGACTTTAACATTCCTTAAGAAAGTAGTTATTTCTGAATGATTTAAATTGAGAGGAATTTTTATTTATAAAACGCAGTGTACAAACTTTCTGCCCGCTCGTATCTCTTCTCCATCATGAGACCCTTATGATTCCCATTAATCTATACACTGATTTTTATGCTACTCCTTTTAGAAACTGAATAGTCTAGTTATCCTCAGTTTTTGTGTTAATAGACTTTTTGAATGTGTACCCTCGTGTATGTGAATAATTAAATTATGACCTCTCAGTCATAGCTAAATAGTCAACTCCAAAAGAGTTAGTAACGACCATTCATGTGAGGTTCACTATTCTTGCATTTAATGTATAATGGCTATAAATTATCTGCATTTATTCTGTATTTATGTTACCTAGCTGACTTTTACTTGAATTGTTAAAATTAAAATAATGCTTATGAAAACATGGTGTCTTTTTCTGTATCTCATAACATTTTGGCACAGTGAGAACATCTGCATACTTCCTTAGGATGATGTTATGTAGAACAAAAGTATATTGCCATTTTCAAGTTGAGATTTAGACTCAAGTTTTTCTGAACTGTAGCTAACATGGACAGTGCCCAGTCTGGTAGGTGAAGAAACCAGGACAAATTTGTCCTGTTATATGTCTCAAGGTTAATGTAAAGCTGGAGGTGTTTGCTCTACTGATAGTACTCTATGCACTGAAGATACTGGCAAAATAATGGTTGAAGTTGATGTCAATAAGCCCCAGGGTCCCAGGTTTCGATTTGTGTGTGGGGGTGTGTTGCTGAACATCGGGAGTTGTGATGAAGGGCTTTGTGAGTGCATGATCAAATTGACATTTGTACAACTTGTAAAACTCAGGCACTAACAAATTGTAGTGAAATGATTTGCTTTTTTCTTTCTTTCTTTTTTTTTTTTTTGCACTTTGCAGACAAGTTAACTGCCTTAATATTTTGAATCAGTTCAAATCACAGTGCTAAGTTTATCCAGTAGTTTGATGTGATTTTCTAAATGTCTGTAGATAACAGGTACTCAGAAGCATATTAGGGAGTGATGAGAAAATTGGAGCCACCATCTTAACTGTCTCAGAAGATAACCTATGTAGACCTTAGATTGTCTTCTCAGGCCACTGGAGAGTCTCAGGCATTTTTTCTCCAAAGGACAATTAGTGACATTGCTGAAAGTTAGATTTAAATGTTACATTCAGTTTATCTTAGGCAAGCTGCTCTTAAAATCTTCAAGCCACAAGAATGTTTAGAGATGATCTGTGTTCTCTGAAGGTGTTAGGTTGGTTAATTCTATGGCGAAGATCTAGGAAGGTTGCTTGGAAAAAATAGTATTTTAACAAAGTTTTGAAATAGGGATAGAAATTTTATAGGCTAATAGGAGGAGGAACATTCTTTGTTAAATCAGTGATCAAAACATTTTTAGTAGTTCGAAGTCAAAGAACTAGCCTATTTTCTTTTATAAACCTAGAAATTAAAAAGTAACTTAAGATTTTGAAACCAGGAATAGACCCCAGTATTCTAAACATAGTCTGTCTAACTTAGGAGCTTATCACATCCAATCAAACCTGTTTTTGTTTTCCAGTCCTCTGTTCTTCCAAAGCACCTCATAATTTTTCTGTGAGTCTTTTATTCTCAAGGATAAACAGCCCTAAACATTCTTCAGCCACTAGTTTTTAATCTTAGTTTTCAATATCCTCCAATACGGTTGATCTCTTTTGTATAAACTTAACTGAGGTGTCTTAATGGCCCAGGTGATTTGATCTATACCTTCCTGAATGATATACTCATTTTTAGTTTTGTTTTTTATCTTCCTCACCTCCAAAACATGTGCCAGAGCAACTGGGCATCAGCATGACTGAAAATGTACCATTACTTTGCATTACACACAAAATGAACAACAGACCAAACAAAGTAAACAGGGTCTTTGCAACCTTGTCTAGGCAAAAGTTAGAAGTCACTAAAAGCACCTGTGTGATGGGCTGGGCTAGGAGTGAGAGTGGAATTAGGA